TTTAAGGTTTAAGGTTTTGGGGTTTAGGGTTTAGGGTCTAGGGTTTCGGCTTTAGCGTTTAGGGTTTAGGGTTTAAGGTTTAGGGTTTTGGGGTTTTGGGTTTAGGGTTTAGGGTTTCGGCTTTAGGGTTAGGGTTTAGGGTTATAGGGTTGGTTTAGGGCTTAGGGTTATAGGGTTTAGGGTTTAGGGTTATAGGGTTGGTTTAGGGTTTAGGGTTTAGGGTTTGGGTAACACAGGAGCCTTAATTAGTATTTCGAACTGGGTTTTGGGGTCCAACCTACCTACTACAGGTATAATGGTGAATATCAGGGAATGGTGTTACTGCTTATTCAGACCGCTGTTAACTTAGATGCATTTCACCACTGCTTCAGGCTGTGGTGTCGCGGTTGTTAAAAATGTTGTGGGATCTATGTTGAGCATCTAAGAAAGTCTCCTGAATGTATGTAGACGATTACATGCTCTAGGATTCACACGTGTGTTTCATTACGTTCCTTTCTGACAGCGCTTTTTACCTTTGCCGAAGGCGGACTCACATGTGCCTGGGGGAACAAGCCTTCAAACTTAGTAGGACTTGAGCTACAGGGGGCATCTGAAACTAGAAGTACCAGCAAGTACTCCAGGAACCCTACTTTCTATTATGTAGGTACTTAGGACCCCTCGGGATTGAAACAGCATTCGGATTTAGGGTTTAGGGTTTAGGGGTTTAGGGGTTTAGGGTTTAGGGTCTAGGGAGCATTAACAGGCCGGATCACACCAGCTGGTAGCCATGCTCTGCATTGAAGCGTTCCCACTCCAAGACGAAACCTCCCGGTATGACGTAGCTTGCTTGGGGTCCGGTCGGTTAGGGGAGATGAGAAGTGCTCTATGAATGCCTAACCCTGCACCCTACATGCTACAACATTTCAACCCTGCAGCATGTCGACAAACTTGCCCGGAATGGATCAGAAGAACCTAGTCTTAGGGGTTGAGTACTCTAGCCCAAAAAAGGTTAACCTTTTGAACTATAGTAGGATCATACAAGCCCCAAAAGGTTAAAGGTCATCTACTCAGCCCCTGAGTAGTTCTGCCAGGCAAACGGGCAGCTCAAGTTGTAGCAGGGCTTGATGCACTGCTCAATCTCCTCGTTTGTCTTGTTCCCTTCCCTGCATCCACCGCAGCTGCCTAGGTTGGCCCTTCACACATCCCCTTAGATACCTGCTAAGAAAACAGATCCTCTTATACCCAACCCTAAACCCTAAACCCGAAACCCTACAACCCATAGGCCCCCACAAAACTCAACAAATATGCCAGTGGCTTCGCCTAGCTGCTGTAGCGAGGAAACTGCTTCGGAGTGAGGTGCGGGTCGATCGCATTGAATGTACCTCGGCTGCAGCAGCTCAAGGCTTAGGGTCTAGGGTAGAGGGCTTTTTGAAGGGCTTAGGGTAACTCTAAACCCTAAACCCTCAAGTTTAGGGTTCACGTTCCGTTGCACTCAGCCACAAAATTGACAAAGCCAATTCAAGAATTCGATTCAAAAGAACCATCAACAAGTGCCTTCGGCGCACGCATGTTTGTGCTACACGCCGAAAAGAGCTCGACACGAAACAGAGCCAACAGGGTGTGTTTTTTGATGCATCGGGCTTGACAGTGGTTTGCGACAGAACTGTTCAACCACGACACCCTCTACGCCAAACCCTAGGCCCTAATTCCTAATCTCTAATCTCTAAAGAAGAAAACGTGAACCCTAAACCCTAAACCCTATACCCTAAACACTAAACCCTAAACCCTAAACCTAAACCCTGAGCACATATCCTCAAGCCCGAATCCCAGGCGCCGATTGCCACCAGCCCTTTAGCTTGCCAGGCGAGGAGGGCAACAAGGAGTACCAGAATGCCACACAAGGAGGACCTGAAATCAAGGCTTTCTACCACTTTGGGGTTTAGGGTTGAAGTCCACGTTAAGGTTTTAGGGGTTCAGGGGTTGAGGGGTGTAGTAGGGGCTAGGGTTATGGGGTTTACGGTTACCACAGAGTAGGGTCATGATCTACCCCTGACTTGAACGTCTGGTCCAAAAGCCCCAGTTTACTTTAGCGGTTTGGGATGTAGGTTTTGCATTACGTAACTGCTCGAATTACGGCCGTACTTCCGTCGAGTTTGACGGGTTTCTGAGCCCTAAAGCCGAAACCCCAAAGGCTCAAGAACACCAGAACCTGTGAGGTGAGGAGGGGAGCAGACCTTGAGAATAGATCATGAGACTATGGCGGGTTCGGTTGAATTAGGGTTTAGGGTTTAAGGCTCCAAACACTAAGGTTCATGCTGGGGTCTCTATTTTCGGCTGCTGCCGATCTAAAGAGCCTTCGGCGCAGGGAAGCTCTCAGGATTGGGTGCGCACGCCCCTGGGTTGAACAACAATCGTATGTTGGGGCCAGGATTCAACTAGCAGAGGCACACAAAACGTCCCGAATCCTCAACCGCATCTCAGAACAGAACCCTAAACCCTAAACCCTACAACCGCTCTTCCTGGCTCATAACACAGCTCCTGCCCATTTCTAGGGCCCAAAAAAACACATAAGCAAAACTTAGGATAGGGATATCCCATATAAACCTCCCTTATAATGAAGCCCAATAAGGTAGGGACATCCCTACAAAATGCTTATGTTTATGTTCTTGTTGGGTTCCTAAATTTCCGGTGAGGGCTTTAGTCTTCAGAGCGGTGGTTCAATGATGCAAGACTGATGGGTGTAGGGTTTAGGGTTTAGGGTTTAGCCTGGGCTGTCAAACCCTCAACCGCAGCTGCCATTTGCAGCTGAAGCAACGAAAAGATCGTGCAGCAGCAGAACAGCTTGTGCTTGCGAAAGCTAACAACCACCTTAGTTGCCGTTCATGGGCCGAGGCAGAATGAACTCTGAGTCCCCAGACCCCCAAAAGGATCTAAAAAATAGATCCCCTAATTTGGGACCCAAACTACTAAAGGGTACTTTATAGGAACCCCCTTAGGGGATCTATTTTTTAGATCCTTTTGGGGGTCTGGGTCAGACTGAGTCGAGGTTGCCATGAACCGTAAAAAGTTATAAACAACAAGCTCGACCCTAGGCCGATATTATAGGAACCCTAAACCCTACCCTAAACCCTAAACCCTAAACCCTAAACCCTAAACCCTAAACCCTAAACCCTAAACCTCAACCCTAAACCCAAAGCTCTAAGCCCTAGTAGCCCTAAACCCTAAAACCTGCGAGCCCCAAACCTAAAACCCAAAGCCTTGAAGGAGCCCGGAACTCGAAACCCTTACAGGAACCCTTTGGAAACGGATTAGGGTTTAGGGTTTACGGGATTAGGGGTTTAGGGGTTTAGAGGGTTTAGGTATTATTGTCTCCTGATGCGAAGTTACTTCGTCGCTGTCGCTGCCCTCGTCGCTGCTGGGGCTGTCCTCCACCTCGAGGCTGATGGAGGCACTTTGAAGGCTACAGCGGCTGCATCAGCCCTACAGGCTTAGGGTTTAGGATTTAGGGCTTAGGGTTCAGGGTTTAGGGTGTTCAAGAAATGCGCAGGTACCGTTGGACGCACCATGTCTCTTGATCTTTGGGTTTGGGGGTTTAGGGCTTTGGCGTTTAAGGCTTAAGGCTTAGGGTCGCGAAGCCGCACCTCATCCCAGACACTCTGAAACTGAACACATGGGGGTTTCCGGAAACTAGGGTACCTTAATTTTGGGGTCCTTATACTATCCTATTATTTAGGGTACTGTATTAGGGTCCCCTATTCTCGGAAACCCCCACATCAAACTGCCTTTACTTGGATCCACAGGCCACTCCCGCATCCCAAGCCTACACTCCGGGCCAATCTACTTGACTATGACATAAGTTGGGGCCTGAAAGAGCTGTAGGCTACAGAGATTCAGAGAGCCCTAAACCGTAAACCCCTAAACTCAAAAATGTTCATCTTGAGTGCAATCACAGTCACTTTTTCGAAGAACTGATTCTCGCTTCCGCCGGCAGCGAGCTGTGGTGCTCGGACGGACACTGCTTGGGGCCACGTCGCCATACACGGCACCAAGAAAGACTGGAAAGGAACGAGGAAGGCTGTAAGGCCTGGGGTGTTAGGGTCTATGGTTTACCTGGACCCCAAATCACTTACCGATTTAGGGTTCCTGATTATGACGTCTATATAGTAACCCTACACCCTAAGCCCCTTTGAAAGGTAGGGTTCTTTGGGGTCACGGCAGGGTCTAGGGTTTATTGCTGTTGAGGGCTTCGGTTTTCGGACTTCAGGGTTTAGGGTTTAGGGTGTAGGGTGTGGGGTTTAGGGTGTAGGGTTTAGGGTCTGGGGTTTAGGGTTTAGGGCTTCAATACTTCATGGGATCCCGTAGGCCCTAGTCTGAAACAGTCCTCTGAAAGGAGCGCTTCATGATTTCATGGGGCCTTAATGATTATTAGACCAGGGTTTTTGGTATATATCTTAACATGAATATGAGGACTATGTTGCTATTGTTGGTAATTGATACCCATTCCGACACATATATTACCTAAACCCTAAACCCTAAACCCTAAACCCTAAACCCTAAATCCAAAACCCAAAACCCAAAAACCTAAACACTACACTACCCCCCGTCTCGGAATCTCCTTGTAGGATCTGACCACTTGCGTCCCCAGAAGCACGCAATGTCTTTGAGCCAGATGGAGACGGCCAGGTGGGGAGGGGAAGGTTGAACTCTCTCAATGCGGTTTAGGGTTTAGGGTTTGGGGTTTGGGGTGTAGGGTTTATGTCACAGTTTAGGGTTTAGGGTTTGGGGTTTGGGGTGTAGGGTTTAAGTCACAGTTTAGAGTTTTGGGTTTGGGGTTTAGGGTTTGGGGTGTAGGGTTTATGTCACAGTTTAGGGTTTAGGGGTTTAGGGTTTGGGGTTTAGGGTTTGGGGTTTGGTGTGTAGGGTTTGTGTCACAGTTTAGGGGTTTAGGGTTTAGGGTTTGGGGTTTGGGGTGTAGGGTCTATGTCACAGTTTAGGGTTTAGGGTTTAGGGGTTTAGGGTTTGGGGTTTAGGGTTTGGGGTTTGGGATTTAGGGGTATTGGGTGGGCCTTGATTACTGGAATAAGGTTTGGGGATGTTTGGGATAGTCTACGTACTACAACTCCACTACTGAAACCCTGCATATTTTGCTGGTAAATGTTGTGGCTTCGACGTTAAATCCTCAACGAAATATGAACCAAGCAGCCCCACACGAGCCTGATCCCTGAACCCTGAACCCTAAACCCCAAACCCTGAACCCCTAAACCAGGTCTGATGTTCTGGGGTTGTTTAGGGGTTAGGGCTTGTCGGGTCTATAGGGTTTAGGGTTTAAGGTTTACCCAGACCCCCTTGGAGGATCTAAAAAGCAGATCCCCTAGTTAGGGACCCTAACTACCAAAGGGTACTTTAGAGGAACCCCCTTTTAGGGGATCTAGTTTTTGGATCCTTTTGGTGGTCTGGCTGCTCGCTTGCCTGCTCGCTACTGCTCAAGGTCTTGAAGATTTGGGGGGGCAGGGCTCAAGGCCCACGGTTTAGGGTTTAGGGTTCCGGTTAGGGTGTAGGGTTTAGGGTTCAGGGTTCAGGGTTCAGGGTTCAGGGTTTAAGGTTTAGGGTTCACGGCCCACGGTTTAGATCCGTTTACTTTCGGTGCCTTCGGTCCACTCGAGGGCCATTGCATCCTAAACCCTAAACCCTAAACCCTAAACCCTAAACCCTAAACCCTAAACCCTAGAGCTCGAACCACAGCAGCCTGAAGCCTTATATGGGTGGTTGTCAAAATTAGGGCCCCTTTTGGGGTACCCTAAAGAATAGGTGCCGTGTTGTACTAAGGACCCAAAGAAAGGCCATCATTTTGACAACCACCCATATAACCCCGCCTACCCTAAACCATGAACCTTCCAGAGAGCCCAACACCCCGAACTAAGGAATATATCTTGAGTTATAGGGGTCTGGATATGATATATAATTAAACTATATTCACCCTAAAATCCGAAATCCTGAACCTTGTTCCTTTGTTAAGGGGTATTGGGCTCTCTGAACCCTATTATAACCTTTCAGGAACGCGCGATAGGAAGCCTTTGCAAAGCCCCTCAGGGTCGGGACCTTATACGTGGTTTAGGTTTTTAGGGTTTAGGGTTTAGTTTAGGGTTTAGGTTTTGGGGGGTCAGATTTTAGTTTAGGGTTCAGGGGTTTAGGTGTTAGGGTTTGGTCTAGGGTTTAGGTTTTTAGGGTTTAGTCTAGGGTTTGGCTTTTAGGGTTTAGTCGAGGGTTTAGGTTTTAGGGTTTAGTTTAGGGTCTAGGGTTTAGGGTATAGGTTTCAGGGTTTAGGTTCATGCGTAGTTATAAGTGGGGTTATAAGACCCCTAATATGGGTTATAACTATAGTTAGCCTACTTATAACCTTACTTATAACTACCCATGAACCTCCAAGTACTCCCGCAAGCTACAAAGCTGAATGGAGTGAAGACCTTGTTTTCTCGTGCACGAATCCTTGTCAAACCCTGAACCCAAAACCTCAAAACAAAGCTAGACCCTAAACCCTAAACCCTAAATCCCCAAATCCTGAACCCTAAATCCCTAAACCCTAAACCCTAAACCCTAAACCCTAAACCCTATAAACCCTAAACCCTAAATCCCCAACACCCCACCTTCAGCGCATCCGACACCCTTCGGCGGAGGAAGGGTGCCTGGGCTTCGAAGTAACCAGGGAGAAAAAAGTATAGACTTTGATTTCATAATGGCTCCTTTAAAGGACCCTAAACCCTAAACCCTAAACCTAAACCTCAACCTCAACCCTAAACCCTAAA